TAGACTTAAAGCTCAACATTCAGAAAACTAAGATCATGGCATCAGGTCCAATCACTTCATGGCAAATAGATGGGGAAACTGTGGAAACAGTGGCTGACTTTATTTTGGGGGGCTCCAAAATCACTGCAGATGGTGACTGCAGCCATGAAATTAAAAGACGCTTACTCCTTGGAAGGAAAGTTATGACCAACCTAGATAGCATATTAAAAAGCAGAGACATTACTTTGCCAACAAAGGTCTGTCTAGTCAAGGCTATGGTTTTTCCAGTAGTCATATATGGATGTGAGAGTTGGACTATAAAGAAAGCTGAGCACCAAAGAATTGAGGCTTTTGAAGTGTGGTGTTGGAAAAGACTCTTGAGAGTCCCTTGGACAGCAAGGAGATCCAACCAGTCCATCCTAAAAGAGACCAGTCCTGGGTGTTCACTGGAAGGACTGATGTTGAAGCTGAAACTCCAATACTTTGGCCACCTAATGCGAAGAGCTAACTCATTTGAAAAGACCCTGATGCTGGGAAAGATTGAAGGCGGGAGGAGAAGGGGACAACAGGATGAGATGGTTGGATGGCATCACTGACTCAATGGACATGGGTTTGGGTAAACTCCGGGAGTTGGTGATGGACGGAGAGGCCTGGCATGCTGCAGTCCATGGGGTCACAAAGAGTCGGAAATGACTGAGTGACTGAACTGAACTGATAACCTCTCTCATTTTTTACAAATGGGAGAACAGGGAAGGAAATTACCATTAAGAGTGGAGGTGGGACTAGAACCCAAGTCTCCTGATTGCCATCTTGCTCCTTTACCTTTACTGTCAAATGGAAATTTCAGATGTGTGTGTACAAATGTGTGTGGTGGGGCAGGAAATGACGTCTGCCTAAGTGTCTTTATTTAAACAGTACCTTTGACTCTAGGTAAAGTATTTCTCGGACTTTCCTGGTGGCACAGTGGTAAAGAATTCACCTGCCAATGCAGGAAACTCAGGTTCAATCCCTGGGTCCGGAAGATCCCCTGGAGAAGGAAATAGCAACCCATTCCAGTATTCTTGTCTGGAGAATCCCATGGACAGAGGAGCCTGGTGGGCTATAGTCCATAGGGTCACAAAGAGTCAGACACGATTTAGCAACTAAGCAACAACAAAAATATTTCTCATAAAGCAGAAGTGCCCTCCAAATTGTATCATTTTGAGAGAATATGGTGTCCTTACAGCTTCTAATTGTATCTCCAATGAAAGGCCTTGCCCTCTGAAGATACGTGAAGCTCTGTTGCACAAGGGGTTTGAGGTCTCCTTGTGATATGCCTTCCTGGGGCAAAATGGCTATGTTTTTAATGCTTTAATTGATGTGATAATTAGAGTTGTTGAGATAATGAGAACCATGTCAAGGCTATCTGGAGTGAATGTTCCAAGTTGAGAGGACTGGAGCATGTGCGACTTGGCATTAACTTTTTCTTTAAAACAGAAAAACAACTCTGACTACTTTTTGTACCAGATACTCTACTAAGCACTTCATTTTTATCTCATTTGTTCCTTCTAGAGGTATATTGAATTATCATCATCTCTATGCTACTGATGAATGAATAAATGGAAGTTCAGGGACATTAAGTAGCTTTCTTCAGATTTCATACAACTAGTAAGTGGGAGAGCCAAGATTTGGACTTGGGTAGCCTGAGGCCAGAGCCCATGACCTTAACCACTTTCCTGTATGGCCTCTCTATTTACCTAGAAGGAACCACTGACATTTCTGATGGCATTGAAATGTGAAGTTGGGGACTTAGGATGTCCTAATTACTGAGCTAACATTTGAGGAGCTTAGCATATGAGATAGGTTTACAGAAGAGAGGCAGAAAATAAAAGGGGATTTACCATGATGAAGGAAAAAATAAAGCATATGAAGTCTAGGATAATAGAGGAGTTAATAAGCCTAATAGACCTGTGTTATTTTCTGTATATAGATGAGACCTAGAAAACATAGAATATGTAACCTTGAAGATTGCTGACTTCATTGAGTGCATCTTTATAGGGTCTTACACTGGTAGTATCCACTGGTAGTATCTAACAGTTGTCCTTTTGTATCCTAAATTATCTAGGGGTTAAGTAAGCATTTACTAGGTGATCTTGGTGTTTATAGGGCTTCCTGATGGCTCAGATGGCTGAAATGCGGGCGACATGGGTTCAATCCCTGGATCAGGAAGATCCCCTGGAGAAGGGAATGGCAACCCACTCCAGTGTTCTTGCCTGGAGAATTCCATGGACAGAGGAGCCTGGCAGGCTACAGTCCATAGGGTTGCAAAGAGTGGGACAGGACTGAGCAGCTAACACTTTGACTTTCTTGGTGTTTATGTTTGAGCTGCACTGTTTCTTCTTTTAAAGAAAGTAGAAGAGTTATGCCAACAATAGAGGTCCTGGTACCTTGTGGAAAACCATCCCAGTGACAAAGCATAATGGGATTTTTCTTAGCCTGCTTGTGGAAGTTGTCTGACTTGTATAACTGTCTTCAGCCTACTCAGAAAACTCTAGGCCTTTATTGCTTTTCCCTTCCAGATGGTTGGCTTAGTGACTTCTACTGCTGGGGATTCCTTAGCTAAGACATTGAGGGTACCTTTCTGAAGAAAGACAGGGCATGGAAAAAGACACCTAGCCCTGGACTGCTTATTTTTCAGTTCTCTGAGCTTACATTGCAGTACTTTACCATCAAGGCAAGAACTGCATGCTATCTAACTTTAATTGCCTTTAAGTATAACTGCTGTAAGCCTCAGTAATTATAGTTAACATTCTCTGCGTTAACATTGCACGGCTCCCCTAGGGTTTTCAGAGTGATTCACAAATAAATGCATTCAGCTTTAAATAGCTCATCAGGACTATGGAACCCAAAAGGTGAAGGATAGAGGATATTTTCTGCTCTCCAATTACTCAGAGCTTAGCAAAAAGGCAGGGGTGTCCATGGCCTAAAGGTCTCGATTGCCCTAGTCCTTGTTATTACAAATAGTCACATATCCTAGGAAGGAAAGGCTTAAGCTTATTAAGAGAAAGAGAATGGCAATTTTTGTTTCTTTTATTTCCTAAGCAAAGGTCTAATGCATTTAGACTTAAAACTCGCCTCAAATGGTTTACAAGGCTAGATTGAACTAGGCCTTGGAATGAATGGAAATGTAAAGAAGTGTAGTGCAATTTTTTTAGGTTTTCCCAGTCACCTAGGCAAAGCATAACACAAGTCTGGTAGGAAAATAGAAGTTTTCTTCTACCTAGAGAAAGTTCAGTGATTCTAATTTGGAGAGAGAGCAGGTATCAGACAAGAAGAGGTTCCCAATTGGCATGTGCCATCATTGTCTAACTGGACATTATAGAGAGCAGTGATTTGGACACATTGCCTTGAAGCTGTTGCCTGGTTTCTGCAATGAGGGAGTCAGGTTGGTTCTACTGGCTTGGCTCCAGCTAACTGGATGGGGGCAATGCTGGTAAAGTGGGTAACCTTTTAACATTGAAACTGTAGGTATCTCAAGGGCTTGGGAATTTGTTGGAAAGTTAGAGTTGAGCTGAATTCTTGAATTTCCTTTGGACCATGCTATCAATAATATCTTCACATTTAAATCTTTGTAGTGAGATTTCAGGAAAATAATAATAACAGATGTGACCAGCTGGGAAGAATTTCTGCTATAGAGTCCATAAGTTGATTTTATTAGCAAGAGAGGCACTCCCACAAGCATTTTAAGTATTAAGGAGCATCATCTGCTCATTCCTAACAATTTGGGAAGGTTGTACTTTCCCCTATCTTCTTAGATGTTGAGAGTTTGTATGTTGGTGGTGGTGGTAGTGTAGTTGCTAAGTCATGCCTGACTCTTCTGTAACCCCGTGGACTGTAGCCCACCAGGCTCCTCTGTCTATGGGATTTCCCAGGCAAGAATACTGGAGTGGGTAGCCATTCCCTTCTCCAGGGGATCTCCCTGACCCAGGGATCAAACCCACATCTCCTGCATTGGCAGGCAGATTCTTTACCACTGAGCCCCCAGGGTCTATATGCCTTCTTTTAAAAGCTCTGAAATTCTCTTCATTCCTTCCTTCCAATGGAATCAGGGATTTTCCATGATGGAATTTGCCTTGGAAGTTACAAGGGTACAAAGAATTCAAGCTCTTAGTCCCAGCTCGCTTCAGCTTTTGTTTTTGGTTATGGTTCATAGACTTACAAAGAGGAAGAATTATATGTGATCTCATTTAGTCTTAGCTTTGATTCATTATTTGGCATCTTTAGATATCTTTAAAGGTCCCAGAGTGAAAGTTAAGAGATTACAGTCCAATGTTATCAACTCAGGCTCATGAGTGAGGCAGAAATCGCAAATGACCTGTGTTCTTTTAATATAGAACTGGTGGTACAGTGCTGGTCAATGAAGAGACTAAAGACTTTTGAACCATTGCATGGCACCTTCACTGTTGAGGGGCAGAAATGTTCCAGGAGCACAGTAGTGATGACACTGAGTAATTACTAGGACTGTAGAGTTCAGAAAGACCATTCTGGCCTCCTTGTTGACCACCCTTTTTCTCTCACTTGAAGGGGAGACTGCTATATAAAGGGGCTTCCTTTCCATTCCAAATTAAACTCTTCTCCCTGGGGAGCCCCCTTTCATTCTTTAGCATTCCCCTAATATAATGACCAAAATAAGATATTCCTCCCCCAGAACATTACAGTTTCAAGAAGGGAAGAGGTGAGGACATCTATAGATGGGGATCTTAGGAGCTTGCTAGCAAAGACTCTCTTGATAGAAATAGACTTGGGGGAAACATAGATAGAGGGAGAGATGAAAAATGAGCTCCTAATTCCTATCTTCTGAGACATTCTCTGTATGGTCAATACAAGGCAGCCTGCTACTCACGAAGGATCTTCTTGCCATTCATTCTTTCCTGGAGCTGGACAGGAAGAGATGTAAACATAGGGCTGGATTTGGGGGGCTCTGTAAAACTGACCCTGTTCTTTTCCTTCCATCTTGCATTTCTTCCAATCTGGATTTTCAGCTAAAGAAGAAGCAAGTGTATGTAGATAAGGTGGAAAAGATGCAGCAGGCACTTGTACAGCTCCAGGCAGCATGTGAAAAGCGAGAGCAGCTGGAGCATCGTCTCCGGACACGACTGGAAAGAGAACTGGAATCCCTCCGAATCCAGCAGGTACGGACAATTTCCAGAAAGTGAGATGGCTCCTGATTGCCCATTTGTCAGATAGTGTCTGACATGAGAACCAAAAATACACTCTTACCCCACCTGGTCTTACCCCAGAGCGGCTTCCAGTTGTAAAGACATAGTTGGCTTCCTTAGCTTCCTAGCGCAGCACAATCCTTAATGCCTTATAAGAGGTAAAGATGCTATACAAACAGACTTTGGGACATTTTAGGATTGGAAATGGTCTTTAGAGTCATTTAGCCATACATCTTCTCACTTTTTTTTTTTTGGCCCCATGGTTGGCATCTTAGAACTTAGTTCCCTGACCAGGGATTGAACCCATACCTCCTGTAGTGGAAAGCGTGGAGTCTTAACCACTGGACCGCCAGAGAAGTCCCCCTATCTCCTCAATTTCAGATGAGAGAAAATCAAGACCCAGGAAAGGTGGCATGATTCACTTAAGATCACACAAGTTTAGGGGAAAGATAGAGATCAAATCCCAGATTTTTAATTTCTGTTTCTATGATCCACTTTCTGAGCAGCATGACAATTTGATACAGCAGGCTCCTTTTATGATCCAGAGTCACACACTCAAGCCTAAGGTAGAAAGTCCTAGGAATTTCCCTAGCTTCTGAATTGGAGTCCAAACTGCAGTGGCTTGGTCAGTAATCCTGTCCAAAAATAAGGGCTCTTCAAATGGGACTCGGCCCACCACGGTCCTAACTCACTAATGTCAGAGGTCTCGGCATCTCCCCCAACAGCGCCAGGGCAGCTCTCAGCCCACCAATGTTTCAGAATACAATGCTGCTGCACTGATGGAACTCCTTCGTGAGAAGGAAGAGAGGATCCTGGCCCTGGAAGCTGACATGACTAAGTGGGAGCAGAAGTACTTGGAGGAGAATGTGATGAGACATTTTGCTCTGGATGCTGCAGCCACTGTAGCTGCTCAGAGGTAAGTAGTTGGCTGGTAAAATCTCGGCATGAAGGGCAGGGGTGGTGGGGAGAACAGAAAAGTGACCGAGCGATAGTTTTTCCAGTGTTCCCCCCCCCTGCCCCCCGCATCATGTTGTGTTTCTTTTTTCTCGGCTTCTGCCTGTGATTTTTTTTTAGTTTTCTTTTTTTTTTTTAAATCTGGTTCTACAGAGACTGGGCCTTTCCTGGTAGCTCAGCTGGTAAAGAATCCACCTACAATGCAGGAGACCCTGATTCGATTCCTGGGTTGGGGAGATCCCCTGGAGAAGGGATAGACTGCCCACTCCAGTATTCTGGGTCTTCCCTGGTTGCTCAGATGGTGAATCCACCTGCAATGCAGGAGACCTGGGTTCGATCCCTGGGTTGGGAAGATCCCCTGGAGGAGGGCATGGCAACCCCCTCCAGTATTCTTGCCTGGAGAATCCCCATGGATAAAGGAGTCCCCATGACTGTGGGCTACAGTTCATGGGGTCACAAAGAGTCGGACACGACTGGGCGACTAGCACCGCACAGCACATGCAGAGACTGAATGACTGTAGGGGCTGCGGGTACGGGATTTGAAAATTCAAGTTACTCATGAACTTTCTAGACTCATAGTTCAGCTTTTCTCAGGAGCCCAAACAATTGCAGACAGGATCAAGTTGTGTACATCTCTTTCCCCAGGGCCTCAGGTTTTTTGAGCCACATGTGTAGGTTTCTTTGTTTAGCCCCAGGACTGGAATGAAAGCTTCTCAAGAGAAATGCCACTCCAAAACTAAATGTCACTCAGGAGTGGCTACTGCCATTTGATAGCTCTGGCTCCTCCAAGGTATGCCGAAGGTTGTACTGAACCTGAATCTGTCTGTGCCCTTTGAGAAGGTCTATATTTGAAGCCCACATTCTCAGTGTCCCTGAGTTCATCACATGTAAGCAGTCACATTCCATTTGGTAAGGGAGAGAAAGTGGCAGGAGGCTTTTTCATTTTTTTTTGCCTTTTATGTGTTTCCCCTCTTCTCTTTATAAACGTTTATTATTGGTCTTTGGAGGACACTGTGCTCTTATCCATTTTGTCTGTCTTGCTGCTGTTTGTAATCATCTGTTGGGAAAGAAACAAAAACTAAATTTGAATCAGGAGATGGTGTGTGTTGGAGATGCAGGCAGAGCCATGGTCTGGAGTTGAGTAGCTAAGGCAGGCTATAGCATATTGCACCTAGATAGGTCTCTACACAGAAAGTTATTAAAAATCCTGATGTTGTTTTAGCATTCTCCTAAATGCGGTAAGCCAGCAGAGTCTGGCAGTGCTTGCCAGACTTGGGCTGGAGTATGTGTAGAGGGGGCAGTGGATACATTTATTTTTGAGTCCTTCTCTTGCCAAATCAGAGGGAGGTCAATGCTTAAAAGCTGGACTGGTGGTTTGTAAATCTATTCCCAGTGCTTCAGGAAGATGGCTTACATTTCTCTAATGTGATCTGTCTGTTTTCACATACCCCCTATAAACCTTAAACAAATTGTCTGTGTCTTGATTTTGAGGTCTTCATGGGCTTAAGCTTACCTGTCTTTTTTCTTTCTTTTTCTGAGAACAGTATGCTCAGTATATGCCAGTATAGTAATAGAATGCATAGAAGCCGCAGCTTTGCTGGAGGATGGTTGAGAGGTTTGTAGGCAGCTTAGAAGCAGAATGAAGCATAATTTTAGCTGCTGGTTCCCAAGAAAACACCTGTGCCCACTATTTGTTCAGAGGTTGTTCAGGAAACCCTAACGATGAAAGGGAGATGAGGGCATTTTTGTCATCTTTGGGCAGAAACTTAGAAAGCTAGAGCTCATGAAGGTGTGCTGTGTGAGAAAATGTTGGTGCTGGGACGTTTGCTATTGAAACTGACTTCAGAATAGACTCCAGGTCAAAATTCAGGAAAGGTAGGAGGTTGTCATTTGGGGGCCTTATATAAAGAAACTACCCCTTTCCTGCCTGCTTGGAAAGTTTAGAATATGGGGAGAATCCCCTTTCAGATGGATTTCTTTCCAGAGTCTATTGGCTCCCGTAAAAGAGATTTAATTTAAATTGAATTCCTTTAAATCACCAGGTAGAAAGTTTCCATGTAATCATTATTTTCAGTAAAATGTGCATGCTTATCATTTAATGATAAAAAGCAGCCAGTTCCCACCTAGTAGGAACACTTTGTAATAGTTCCCTGGACAAACATTCCATATCTGGACTGTGTACCTTTTGCATGCCTATTAATACAACCCACAGGAGAGATTGAGAGATTGTATTTGAATTCCTGTAAAATGAGAGAATTGGACTAGGTGATTCCTCCAGACCCTTCTATTGCTAAGATTATACTATTTTCCAAATATTTGCATCTTATGCTCTGCCATGGAGATTGGTCTCCTTTTCCTGCTTTCTTTCTTTATGAGATTTCAGATTTGGAAACTGGCATTCAGAAACCTTTATTTCAGAACCTGTGTGCTTTTCTGCCTTCCCTTCCAACTTCTCTTGCCATTTATTTTCTCTCCAATGATTTCACTTTCCCTCCTCCCAATCCTTAATGTATTGACCAAGGTTCTGCTCTTTGCCCCTTTCTGTAGTAAAGCCTTTATATCTTGTTTTCTTTCAGCATAATTTTTAAGTGCCTAGGCTATTGGCTGCAGATGGAAAGTGCTCAACATATTTTTGAGTAATAAAGGAAGGAAAGAAAGGACAAAAAATGAAAGAAGGAGAAAAGAAATGAAAGAAGGACAGAAATTATTTCTCAGTCTACAACTTAAATCCTTAAGTCTAGGGTCACATTGTAATGGCCTGCTTGGTTTCTTCTGTGTATTCTGCTAGTATCCCAAACTTAATATATTCCTAATATAGGTAAATAACAGGTTTCATGATTAAGAATTGTTGCTTTGGTGGTGTCAATGGTAGTTTTAGAATTTTTTTCAATTGAAGTATTAGCTACGTATTTAAAAACTACTCATTTTAAGTGTCTGGTTTGGTGAATGTTGGTAATGATATACAATAATGTAAGATCTTATTGTATATGTATCCACCATCAAAATAGAGGACACATTCTAAAGTGTCCTTATGCCCCTTTAACTCGATCCCTTCCTCCCATGCCTGACCCCAGACAACATCTGTTCTTTGTCATTGTAAGTTTGCCTTTTCCGTTGGGCAAACTTGCAACATTGCCCAACATTGGGGTGACCAAAAAGTTTATTTGTTTTTTCAGAAAATCCTGAATGTCATATTTTTAAAAAGGCCATATAGTATGTACTCTTTTTTAAATTTCTTTCACTCAGCATGATTACTCTGAGCTTCCTCTAAGTTAATGTGTATATTAATAGTCTGTTGCTTTTTTATTGCTGAGTAGTGTTCCATCACATGGATGTACCACACTTTATGCATTCATTTGATGATGGATTTTGAGACTGTTTCCAGTGTTTGGCCACAGTGAATAATAAAATACAGATTTTTAATACAAAAATAGACATCTGTCTTTCCTCAGGTGAGAAGACATTAGGTTTTCTGTTTATACCCATTCTGACACTTTGATTCTATGAAACATCTCTTGTCAAAGGGAAAGCTGTCAATGCAAGAAATCACATGTAGTGTTTACTATAAGATATTCTTTAAGTGCTTTACAGTTATTCCTTATCTTAATGATAATTCTTTGAATGAAGTACTAGTTTTCATTCTGTAGACAAGGAAACTGAAGCACAGACAGATGAAAGACTACCCCTAAGATCATACAGCTACTAAAAAGCAGAAGAACCAGGACTTAAATCTACATTTTTGACATCTTAACTGCTGTGCCCCATATAGGATGATTTCAAAGGTGGTGAAATAGGGATTATCCCCTTCCGAGAGTTACTATTTGAGGTTTATTTAGTTTCTTAGACTATTATAAATAATCTCAATAACATAGCCTACATTATAACTTCATATTATTGTGTTCCTAAAGATTCCTCTCTAGATGCCTAATGTAGATGAGGGAAATTACTAGCAAGTAGGAGTTCATCTAAGAAGAACCGATTTGGCAGTGCAGATTTTTAGTTTCAGCTCACAAATGGTGATCTATTTCTGAATAGCAGCAAAAAGATAAAAAGATAACACACCTGATCAATCATGTAACTTATTTCTTTACACTTACTAAATCAGGTTGTTACTATTCTCCAAATGTGCAGTGTTTCACACTTATTTGGGACCAAGTACATCTAGGAAAGAGGGAAGTAAAGAAATGGATAGCAGAGGGTAGAAGCTGGTCACACTCGTTATGCATGTCTACCTAATCTTGCATTGTGGAGACCTTTCTCCAGTTCTTCTCAGTTTTTCCTCTCATTCTACCTTCTGTCTTAGTTATCTTGCTCTCTACTCTAGCTTCAAATAGTAACTCTGACATCTCTAAGATTAAAGTTAGAATTTTCAACAACTTGTTTTATATTGTCATGGCTATTCAATAAGATACTTTAACTCCACCGTAACTAAAATCAAAACTCAATGTTTTCCAAAAAAGAGAGAGAGAGAAAAGTTCTTCTTGGTTTCCTATCACAGAAATAGAGCAGTATGCCATCTTTTTTAGTCATTTGAATTAGAAACAACAAAGTCCTCATTCATTCTTCCGTCTCCCTAACACCCACATTTAAATAGTCTCCAAGTTCTAGCAATTCTGCCTCCTGTAGCCTGTTTCCATTTCCTGTGCACTTCACTGGGTCCCATTTTCAAAATCTGTTGCTGGGATTATAACCTTTCTGACTGGCCTGCCTGATTCTGGTGTTATGGTTCCTTTCATCTCTTCATCACATTTCAGCAGAGATAAAGCTATCTTCCTAAAATACAGCCTGGATTATTTCATTCCCTTTGAAAAGCTCTAATAATCTTCGGTGCCTATTGGAATAAAGTCCAAACTCACTTATGTAGTAATTAATTCTTTACTTTTTTCCCCCTCTCCTTGCAAGTTCCCTGCACTCAGGGACTAGTCTTATCCATATCCATTCACTCTCCAGCCTCCCAGGAACTTCAAACACAGTGCTCCACTCATGGCTGAGTTCCCATGTTAAATAAACAAAAGGCTACTACTGATAGGAAAAGATGGCCTTGAAGTTTAAAAGGCCACTAGATGTTTTAATTAGGAGGTCATGGGTGACATTCTAGAAAGCAATGTAAGTAATGTGACAGGGATAACTTTGTCAGACAGAGGAAGGAGAGAGAAGATGATTGAAAGGATAGATCTGGGTTTGGGGTCTGTAGGTTGTCATTTCAAGTCCAGTATCTCTCTACTGGGTACAGTCAGAGTATTGGAAGTTAGCAGGTCAAGTTTCTCCCTCCAGCACTGTGCCTGCTTGCTTTGGCTTAAGCCATTGGCCTGGTAGCCCTGGTCAAGAAGGAAGATTGATGTTGAAGGCGATCCTGGCAGCTCTGTAGGAATTCACTAAGTGCCCCACATTTTCAGGCTCCATTCCTGAGGAGTTCACAGTGTCCATATCAATTAGCTGGCAGAGCTCTGTGTCCCCAAAATGGTCTTTTATGCAATGAAAGTGGCAGGAAGCCAGCACTGGCTCCCCCAGTGACAGACCGCAAACTCAAGTCCCCAGTGTCAGAGCCAGGCCATCACATGGGAACTCTGCACTGCGGGGAACTCCTCCAGGGTCATACCTAGAGCAGGAATTCATTCAACTCATACTCTCTTGTAGGCAATTCTCTTTCTACCTATACTTTTCTCTCTTAATAATGGATAGTTTTGTTGAGGGATTTTCCTGTGCCTGGCACTGCATGTCTTATATGCATACTTTCATTTTATCCCTCCCCTCCCCCATCCCATGAGATATGGGTATAATTATTATCTCAGTTTTGCATACAAGGAGACTGAAGCTTAGGGCATTTAACCAATTCCTGAGCTCTTAGAGTTTGTTAGTGGCAGAGGACTTGGGAAAGTGGAACTTGACCCTGACGGGGTCTACAGTCAGGGTCTGTGCTCTCAACACTACACAACACTGCTTTCTCTTGCATACTTCGGGACACAGGGGCCATTCCCAGTAGGATTACAAGCAAGTGAACTGCACTAGGGCAAATGTAGAATTCTGAGATGCTAAAATATTTTGCATTTAGCAAATGATGAAAGCCAATGTGGTCCTTTCCCTTCTTGTTCTCTAATTACGTCACAATTCAGGTACATTGTTTCCACCTCACGTAAAAGGGGCAAGCATTTGGGGGAACTGTAATTTTGCAGAAGCTCTCCAAAGTATCCCAACTTTAATACCAACTTTCTGCCTCTTCATTCCCCTGCCCCTTCACTGCCATCTGCACTGGTCACAGTCTCTAAGCTCTCAGGACATAACTAGCTGCCAGCACAAAAGATGCCTGGAGTTCTCATGCAGATCCTCATTCTCAGAGGAGGTATCACACAGCAGAGCCGGTCATTGTTTTCTCAGCCCATTGTCTGATTTTCTTTAAAACCAATGTGATTACATCAACATTCTTTCTAATCCCTTTTTCTTTCCCTCCAAGTTACTCAAGTAAGATCCAGTTTTCCTCCTCTTCTCTATCACTAGTTCTAAATGAACTAAAGAAAGATGCATGATATCACTCATCAGGAGGATATAGGATTCCCATGTGTCTTTGACTTGCGCTGTTTATACATCAGCCTTATCTATGGGTTACATCCTTTCCCTTTCTCTCTGTTTCTCCCCCCCACCCTTTACCTCTCTCACATACACATACACACACATACTTTTCTCCTTGTTAGTTACTCTTTGAGATAATGGCCTGAGACACTTCCAGATGGAACATGATGATCCCTCAGGCAGTTGGGACTCTGGCAGGAGACTAGTCAGTTGAGGGGGACTCACTGATTTGGCGCTAGAATGTTTCAGATGTAGCTTCGATAGGAGTCAAGTGGCACTGACTCAAAGGCCCTGCGTCTCACTCAGTTCCCATGCCCTACCTGAACTGGTCTTATTGACATGTCTAGAGTTCGTTTTTAGCAAACACTCAGGTAGAGTTACTGCTGTTGAATGTAGCAACAGCAATTTGGTACATGCTCTGACTTCCTTCAGAGTTTTCAGAAAAAAAGTCTAGTTTTTTCCCCTCCATGAGTGTCATGAGAATAAAGTGGGCATTTCTCATATGTAATATAAACACTATAAAGTCAAAATATAAATGTCTTCCTACTGCCCAGCCATGATCTAAAAACTTGAAGGGACTTTCTGCCAGAGGTTTTGGGAGAGTGTCTATGTAGTTCTGAAGGCAAGCCTGTGCACCTCTCATAGAATCCATCACTGATTCACTAAGTCACCCAGAAAGCCACCATTCCTGATAAATTTGATTTCAGTTTAGGACTTTCTGACAATAGGTTTGACTTAGGAGGGAGATAGGATTCATCGATTTTGTTGCCCTCCCATTATCATCACTGCCATTTTCCTTCCCAGGGACACAACAGTCATCAGCCACTCTCCTAATACCAGCTATGACACGGCTCTAGAAGCTCGCATCCAGAAGGAGGAAGAAGAAATCTTGATGGCTAACAAGCGTTGCCTTGACATGGAGGGCAGGTAAAATGCTGATCTGGACTCTGGTGGATCTGCGAGTTGGTGCAGAGACACCAGATAGGTCAGTAGGGAAGAGCAAGCATCTTCATTCACTGCAGGGACACCTGATTAGGCAACCTCCTCCACCCCTTCCCCGCTCCCAGCCTGTTATTTAGGATTTGAGATGTAATGACCTTTACCTCGATTATTCTAACTCTGGAATTCCAAGTAATATTGCTTTCCTCATTGTCCTTGGTAATTGCTTTCCATAGGCCCTCTGCCAGAATTTAATTGTTAGTATTTGAACTCTGGGGTATTCTTTCTAGGACTGCACCTTAACTCTGTGGTGCAGTAAAGTGCCTGGCAAAAGAGCATCCACTCAAACTGGGAGATAGGGTATCTGATGTCTCTCATAAGCTCATGGTCACTTACTTATTAGCCCAAGTTGTAACCCATTCTTAGAAGTTCTCATCGACTGACTCATCATTTCCATTGACTCAGATTCTTATCTGTGGTACCCACTGCATCAGTTTACTCTCTCATATACAGCCTTTCTTTTCACAGATGCTTTTTCTTTGGCTTCCTAAGGTTTAAGCAATAACTCCTGGATGTTCTGATGTGCCCATTTGGGTGTGCGTTAAAAATTGTTGCAAGACACTGTCTCTTGTCTTACAGCTCAGAAATAAGTAGACCACCCCTTAGTTGAAAAGATAATGGGGAACCTCCCTGGTGGTCCAGTGGTTAAAACTGCACTTCCACTGCAGGGGCCACAGATTCAATCCCTGGTTGGGGAACTAAGGTCCCCATACCATGGCAGCATGGCCAGCCAAAAAGATTTTTTAGAAAAAGAAAACAGAAGCTCAAGTCCATGCAGGTAGTGAGATCAGAACCTAGAGGTGGCAACAATGTTTTATATGTTTTTTGTCTTTGTCTCTTAGGATTAAGACCCTCCATGCCCAGATTATTGAGAAGGATGCCATGATCAAAGTACTCCAGCAGCGTTCCCGGAAGGAGCCAAGTAAGACAGAGCAGCTGTCATCCATGCGGCCAGCAAAGTCTCTGATGTCCATTTCCAATGCTGGATCAGGCTTGCTCTCCCATTCTTCAACCCTGACTGGCACCCCCATCATGGAAGAGAAGCGGGATGACAAGAGCTGGAAGGGGAGCCTAGGTAATGACAGTAAACACAGCAGATTAAAGTGACATGTTTAGAGAGAACCCTGACTTGGATACATGCCCACATGGCAATGAGAAGGAGTGATGGTCTTGATTCTAGAGAGGAAGATACACCAGGTTCAGTTTTGTCATCCTGAGAGGCTAACTGCATCTTTAGTAGACAGTGTGAAGTATCACTGAGAGAACACTGGCTAAAGCCACAGGCTGATAAGAATCCCAAGTTCTCTTTGGGAAGGAAGATAACGTCAATTTCCTCTTAAAAATTCTCAGCTTTGGCTTTTGCCACGTGGAACCTTTTGGCTTTGTCCAAAGCTCATGTGGCTTTTGTGTCATTTAACATTTCAAAATTCCAGCTTTTTCTGTGTCCTTTCCTCCCATATAATAGGAGGACACAGAGTTCTAGTTAACCTAAGTGGAGCTGGGTGGCAGGTTTTTGTTACCAGAATGTTCTGAGAACAGAATGTACTTTTTCATTCCATTCCTGTCCATTCCTTCCTCTCTATTCAAAACCCCAGAACTTTTGTGGATACCACGAGGCACATTTTTTAGAGCCCGAGGAAACAAGCTCTTTATATTTTTTTATTTTAGCTCTTTTTGTTGCTTCTAATACCTCTCTTGGTTCTCTGACATTTGCAGTGTCCTTTGGTTAGAGTAGGTATTTGGGGGACCATGGTCAGGATGAGAGCCTTAGATCATGCGATTACTATCACACCCATCTGTGACCCACAGAATCCTTGCCTCAGTCCTTTTCAGCTGTCTGCTAATGGCTAGTGTCAGTTACAAGTGGACCCAAGCAGAAGCATTCTGACAGCTTGTTGGAAATCAATCACCATTGGAAAATAAATCAAAACAGATACCCAGGACACATAAAGGTTTAATATATTGTGCTGGGAGTTAGAGAACGAAAACCAGAAGGGATCTGCCCAGTCTGAAAGAAACTTTGAGCCAGCCCTGGTGGGAGGTACCTGACACTGATTCCCCGGTTCACTGGAGGCACAAGGAAAGAATTTGGAGCTGTTCCTATTTCCTCCTGAACCTCCTGCAAGGAAGAAGAGGTTATCAGGTGTCTATTGGAATAGCCTATAGTTTTCTAAGTTCTCTCCTCCTTTCCTTGGTAGGTATTCTCCTGGGTGGAGACTACCGTGTGGAGTCAGTTCCTTCCACCCCTTCGCCTGTGCCGCCCTCGACTCCCCTGCTGTCGGCTCACTCCAAGACAGGCAGCCGGGACTGCAGCACCCAAACGGAACGGGGAGTAGAATCCAACAAAACCAACACTGTAGCTCCCATCTCTGTTCCTGCTCCAGTTGCTGCTGCCGCAGCCGCTGCCACCACTGCCAACAACACCACCACCATGGTAGCTGCTACTCCAGTGGCTGTCGCTGCTCCAGCCACTGCTGCCACCACCGCCCCGTCTCCAGGAACTGCTGCTGCTACTCTGGCTGCTGCTGTTTCTCCAGCTGCCGCCGCAGCTCCGATTCCAGCTACTGCCCCTGCTGTCACGGCTACTGTTGTTGCTCCTGCTGCCGCCGCCGCCACCGCCGCCACCGCCACCACCACCACCATTCAGGTTGCTCCAGCTGCTCCGGCTCTGGTTCCAGCTCCAGCTCCGACTCCGGTTCCGGCTCCAGCAGCAGCTCAGGCTTCTGCTGCGGCTCAGACTCAGGCACCAACTCCAGCTCCGGCTGCCGCTGCTCCTCCAGCTCCAACTCCAGCTCCAGCTTTGGCTCAGGCTGAGGCTCCTGCAAGTCCAGCCGCCGGTTCTGGACCACGCCGTTTGTCTACACCAAGCCTGAGCTGCAATCCGGATAAGCCAGGTAAGGATTCTCTGGGTCAGGTAGCTGGGGGTTTTGCCCTCAGTTATGGATTGGTGGGTTGGCCTGATGTGTAGGCACAGTTGGTTATGTGGGCTGGGCTTTTCAAGTGCTAAAGTGGATTCATCAGAAGAGATGAGGGCAGAGAGTCTATCAAGGACTTCTCCAGGACAGGATTGGGGATGAGGCAAGGTCATTCTCCAGGTAACAGTAAATGCTCAGGTGAACAAGATGCTGAGGATAGTGGGCCAATCTTACTTTGCCATAGGCTTTAATATGGGCTCTAAAGCCATTTCTCAAATTTTGAGTGTTTCTGAGCTGCCAACGCAGGGGGTGTGAGTTTGATCCCTGGTAGAGGAATTAAGATCCCACATACTACACAGTGTGGCTAAAACCTTTTTTTTTTTTTTAAAAAAAAATGAGGATGTATACCTATGGCTGATGCATGTTGATGGATGGCCAAAACCAATACAATATTGTGAAGCAATTACCCTTCAATTAAAAATAAATAAAATAATTTTTTAAATGAGGATAAAATGTGAGTTTTCACCTTGTCCCTAAGTGTTTTCTAAACCTTTATTTCCATTTAGATGGCTCTGTTTTTCACTCCAACACTCTGGAAAGAAAAACTCCTGTTCAGATCCTGGGACAAGAGCCTGATACAGAGATGGTGGAATATCTCATCTAAACAGTTGAATCAAGAGCTGCAGTGTATCAGCAAGAATGCTTTTAATCATTCTTCCCTTTTGTTTGTTCTTATTTTGAGGGTGAGGACAAGGGTTGGGGGAGGGGATTTTTTTAAAGGAACTTTTTATTGAATCAACATAGTACTTAGGTGATACCATACGAACTCCAGTCTGTTTTGGTACCCTTAGGGAGTACCTCTAAAGCCAGATCCATTCGAATGTGCTCTAAAGTTTATTGTTTGGGTTTATACAACTACTAGGACTGTTAATAGCTGGATATACATCAATGTTCTCAACGTGCTGAAATTTGTTTCGCATTTCCATATTCCAGATCATTCTTTTATAGAAGAGCACAGTATGTTTGGAAGACAGTGTGTAACATGTAGTTCAGAAGTGGGAAGCCAGAGAGGATTGAGGTGCTGTTTTGTATGGTTACCACCTAGGCAGCATCTAGAGAGAGCTCTTGCTTTGGGCTCATGAAAGGGAATAGTTTTAGAAGCTGTGTAAACTGGAGAAAAGGTAGGGAGTATTGGGGTGCGGAAGGGTGCTGGAGTTAATTTCCCCCTCCCAATTTCCCAGCTACTCTGGGCCAGGAGATTGTGTTTATTTTTTATTTCAGTGGTGCTTTGGAAGTGGGTTCTTTTGGTTCCCTTCATGGAGGTTCATACATTCATATATATACTCTGGAGTAATTTATGCATTTGGATAATTAATATATTGCTTTCAGATGCTAGGAGAGTAAATTAGCTGAGTGATGCACAACTTCTCTCTTAGGGAGTTAGACCATCTGAGGCCTTGACGGACAGTTGCATGAGGTGCTGTATGCAGACTTGTGTAGTCTGTGTGAAGCCAGGAACACAGCTTGCTTGCCTTTCCTGAGACCAAGCTGCTTAGTGTTTATTTCTTCTCCAGCACAAATTCACTGGCTGTGTCACCAGTCTCAAATTGCTAATCATTGGCAAAATGAGGAAGCATTTTTGTTGACAGGTTGAAGGCTTTGAAGTTCTGGTGACTGCGTTGAAATAACTCCTGTTGTTTTCCCAAATTCTTCACATACGTCTTAAAAGACAAATTTGGCTCTCACCTCCAGTGGAATAGCATCAGAAGCCCAAAGTACTGTGCTGCAGTCAGGGGAGAGGGGGCTGCAGCACTATTCTCAGCTACCTCTTCTCACTGCCAGTGACTCCATCTTGGAACACCTTTGGAGAGCAGCAGGAAACACACATGTGGGCAGGGACCAACGAGGCCATAGCCCAAGCTTTGCCTTTGTGCTGCCTCTAGGGACACAGAAGGGCTGTCTGTTGCCACAGGTCTCTGCTCTGTGTCACTTCTCTGCCCTTCATTAAGGTGACAGATCCACAGACAATGTCATTAAGATCAGTTTTCAGGGGTATTGGGTGGGGGGTGAGGGAAGGAAGGGAGGTGTTAGATAAGGGTGGGGGGGATAGGGGTTTGGGGATGTGTTAGCTAGAAACCAGATTAATAGAAGAGTAGGCCTGATATATTACATTGTGAGGCATAGTGGCTGGAAGGAACTTTAGCGATATAGCCCTATCCCCTCATTTTAGTAATGAGGAATCTGAGACCTGGAGAGGTTAAGTGACTTTTTCAAGACCACACACTATAGCTTTCCACTCTGCCAGTTACCATCCTTATTTTGGGAAACATTTTTCTTTACAAAATGCCCCAGTTTAAGAAGAAACACCAACATGGTCCAGGGCACATGCATTTTGGACAGTGTCCCTGGCTCCAGTAATTTGTCCAATGTTTTGAATTCCTTGCTTCTCCTGCAGTGCCTTTTGCAAGGTGTTTGCTTTCCTGATCCTTATTTCAACAGAGTCACGTGAAACATCCCCCTAAGAAATCAACCTCACCTCTTCTCTTGCTATGGGTTTGGGTATCAGATCATTTTACAGGGTTCCTCTGTGAATGTAGGAATGGCATATTTAACAACATTTTTGTATTGTTCCTCAAAGGAATTATTTTGTCTGTAGTGAGGGAGAGACAGGAGGGAAGGTGATGTGACTTTGACTGAAATTTTCAAAAATGAAATGATCATCCTACACAAGTCCTCAGTCATCAACTGAATCCCAAATAGAAATTAAAAGTGCAGTTGTGTTAATACTCACTCATACTACCGTTTAGTCATGGGGGGAAACCCTCACATAATAGAAGCAACAAGTAGCAAACCTCAGGACTGCTACTTTCTATTCAAATAAATAGAAAAGAAAAAGAAGAAACCAACATTTCATCTACTCCTTTCATGATTATGACACATTGCCAAGTTTTTGCTAGCTCTGGGAGCCATCGTTTTAATCACATTTTGTAAGGTGACAAATGTCATACATTCCACACTGTGTGGCAGCCATCTCTTTAGACTCCTATATTTTGAGGAAAAGAGGAAGTTCTTGGCCAACTACTATTTTGAACTTTTTACAACTTCTCTGCCCCCTCACACCAGAGGGAGTCCCTTTTGGCTCAGTTTTTAATCCCAGGTAATTTGCTAAAGTAATACGGAACATCTAAGAGATGGAAGAAGTCCATGTCAGTGTTTTCTGTTTACTGGGAGGATAGATCCAGCCTTTTCAGAAAATCTCTAATAGGTGTAATTTTAAAAATTCAGGTTTATGGGAGAAATCTCAAGTTAGCCACCTTTTCATGATTGTGTGGAAGTAATAACATTTGGGGGATTCTTAGGGACTCCCACTTATCTATGCATTTTACTGGCACCTCAGGACAGGAGGGTGACCTTGTTGTCTTAACTTGTACTGCCTGGTGGTCTCTGGGGACCTTCTGAGTCAGTTGTATACCAATGTCCCATGTACAGAAAAACTTCATTAGAATAAACATTACTTGATATAAAATTCCTATTAACAATTTTTTATTAAATAAAACTAGCTTGAGCTGTCTTTTAAGACCATGTATCTGATTATTGTTTTAATGAAGGATTTATTCTCAATGCTGCTTTTGAGCTTCAGGACGACAGGATAGTGGGAATCTAAAATATCTGATGTCATCTGCCATAGGAAACACACCAAGAGCCCAGTTGTGCATTCTTTTTCTTGTTACAGAGTGGGTGGGGACACCAGTTGGGAAACGAACAAACTGACTGTGCAGACTACTTTTTTATCAAGAGCCTAACCACTCATAATTCGGCAGCTTTAAGTGTATACATATGTACTAACTTTTATAAATGATATTCTCTTGTCTGTTAGCCATGCAATCTCATTATCTCAATTGCTCATTCACATTTGGAATGTGTTACTTAAAATGTGTGCAGTCTTGCTGAACATGTTTTCAAAGGAAGGCATCAGCTATGGGCTAATTGCCACCAATTTCGGCCTGCCATGATCCTTGGAAATATATCTTCCGAGTACCATCCATCATCAGTTAGACAAGTGTTGGGAGTTTGTTTATTTTTCTCTGGTAGCAGCAATGGGTTACGTGGAGCCATCAAACCTCCTTCTGGACTCCCTTGTGATTGATGGCATGTGTTTGCAGAATGGATAGCTGAGGTTGGCAGATGGCTGGACAGGAATCACCTTTGATTTAAAATGTATGTGGCCCCATAATGATGGAGACCCTGTTCTGTAATCAACTGAGCTAGTTCCAATAAAGTTAAACAGGTTTGAATCCACTTTGTGCCTATCTTTTCACTGATAATAAAGTTAGCTATTTTAAAATGCAATACTGTGTGGAAAATGCTTTGGTGTTTACCCAGAAGGGGCTTTATTTATGCTGTATCAGTGATTACTTTCAGTTCAGTGTCCAGTGAAATTACCTTTGAAGGGCAGCATGTGGCAGACTTTGCATTTGTTTAAAGTATGGAATATGATTATAAAGTATTAAAACAACATCACCATGTGCCACATGGTCTAACCAGTTCCTTTATATATTCAGGCAGCATATATTAAAAGCTTTGCATCTTTTTATCTCCTGATTCCAAGGGATAAAATGATGGCCACCCAAAGCAGAGAATTCATCCTTGGGTTAGCATTTTGGAAGGCTCCTTGATGTTCCTTTTGTACCCTTGTTCTTATGCCAATTCATCAGTTTTGGTTGAGGGAGCTTGTTATTAAAAACAAATCAAACCCACAAACAAGTTGGCTCTTTTCACTGAAAATGTTAAAGCTGCCTTTACACTGTCCTCTCTGTGCCTCCTCTTTACCATCGAGTCCCAGCCTGACCTGGGAGGACAAGATCCCCACAGGCTTTGAAATGGCAGTTTTCACAGTGACATTGGGCATGTTGAGTGGTGCAGAATGGATAGGGAGAAGATAAAGAGTTCATTCCATTCTAAATTTTATTTTTTTATTAAATTGGGCTGAATTCCCTCTATATTTCTGATGAGTGCTTTAAAAACTGTATGTGTGAAAACCCACTCCTCTTTTTCAGGACAAAGAAGATAGTATTAAAGTTAACCACACCTTCTTCAAAGTTTTGTGAAGCATTCCTTTCAGAAATATGTCTAGTTCTTACTGAGCAGTCATTTGTGGACAGAAAAAGAAGGCGTTCCTTCAAAAGTGACTAAGATCACATTGTAGGAGCATGTATACATATTATTAGTATTTTTTTAATTGGAGAATAATTGCTTTACAATGTTGTGTTAGTTTCTGCTGTACAAAAATGTGAAGCAGCTATAAGTATACATACATCCCCTCCCTCTTGAGCCTTCCTCCTGACCCTTGCATCCCACCCATCTAGGTCATCACAGAGCACCGAGCTGAGTTACCTGGGCTATACAGCAGCTTTAATATCCAGTATTATAAACAGTCTTCTTATCTGTGTGGTACTGCACCTTCCATCCTGTGGGTCTCCTCCACCATAATAAGCAATCTGCTCTATCTATATGAATTACACACTGCAGGAAGTTACAGACTGTAACTGTATGAGTTACACACCTCCTGCTTCTCACCTTCACTACCTCTGTCTGATCCTACAGGTCAGCTTTTATTGGAAAAAAAAAAAGTGCAAGTGACTGGATCTTGGGATAGTTTCTACA